CTCTCCACTTTGCCCAATCTAAAAATTCTCCATTCTTCCCATGCCCCCCTATCATAGATCAGCATCCACTAATCAGAGAAAACATTCAGCCTTTTCACTACCAGGTTTCTATGCTTTCCCTTCTCTTTGCCTGCAGCACCTTTCCACTTCCACCTTGCTGACCCACGTTAACTGAATTATTCAAGACTCACATCTAAGTCACTCACAGCAACATTGATATTTCATGTTATAACAGTTTAGAGCTAGCCAATCAAGTTCAACTTTATCCCCCAATACATTTTTTTCAAATGAGAAAACTTGAGGCCCAAAGATATTAATTAGTATAAGATCATGCTATGGGTTATAGTGGTAGAACTTTGCCAGATTTCTTCCACCCTTTGCATTTTCCTTTCCACTCTGTCACACTTTATTCCCACCCTGCTAATCGCGCCCCCCCAAAAAAAAAAATTCAAAGTGTGATATCATGTTTATAAACTAGTATCTGTGTTTGGATTAGTTTTCACCTACATCTGATTTATCTCAACAACCAAGTTCTGATGATCCTTATGGGAAAGATCATGACACATATTTCTGCTCCCTCTCCTCCTTCTCCATGACTCCTTAAAAAAAAACTTTTTTGTAGTTGTAGATGGACAGCATGCCTTTATTTTATTTGTTTCATTTTTATGTGGTATTATGGATAGAACCCATTGCCTCACACATGATAGGCAAGTGCTCTGACACTGAGTTACAAGCCCAGCACTTTCAGTGGCTCTTTAACAGAGCCATACACCTTTCAGACTGGCAGTAAATGCATCTTAGCTGCAGAGTGCTTCACTTCAAGAAAATATAAGAACAGAACCAATAAAACAAGTATACTCTGGATGAATTATTCTATTACATACATATTCAAAAATGTTCCTCTAAACAAGGATCTCCTATAGTGAGTTTCGTTACTGATCAACAGTTCATTAAGTACCGTCCGGAGGCGGGGGTCCCTAGGAGAGAGAGAGAGCTGAGAAACACAGAGATAAAAATCTGAGAGTCATAGCTCCTCTTATAGGCTGAGAAGGAAATGGGCATTAAGACAGCGTCCCATTCTGCACCACAGAGGATTTACATAGCCCCTGTCTCACAACTCCCAGGTCAGCACTGTGCTTTGGTCTCCCTCAGCTGGGAGTTGAGTGACATAAGTTCTAAATGTCTGTTCCAACACTAATTATTTCTGTGACCTAAGACATGGCACTTAATCTCACTGGACTTGTGTTTTCTTCTCTATAAAAGGTTAGAGGGTGGAGATGTGCTGTGGGAATCCAGATTATTTGCCTCACACATTTGTTGTGAGGCTCAAGTGAGATATTGTATGTGAAAGTACTTTAAAAACCAAAAGGCATTATATGAATGCAAGGTATTAACTTTTTATCTCTACAATCCTGTATCAATTAAATCCTAGGAGACCAGAGTGAGTGAAGGATAACAGGCTTGCATTTTAATCCCATCTCAATTACTTGCCTGAATCCTCTCCTTTCTCTGTAAATGCTGTTCGTGGTCCCATCTCTTAATTTTATTTAGCAGATTATTATAAAGGCTGCTGTTTGGGCTTTGCACACTGCCAAGGTGGTGAGGGTGGGAGAGGTCAGCACCTGTTAAGCCTCAGGAGAAGCACTGATTTCTTCCCAAATTTCTCTAAAACGGAGGGCTTAGGGAATTTGAAACAATTGGTTAAGGGAAATGGGGCTTTTATTCTAGCACTGCAGCATTACTCTCTCATTTGGTAACAAAAGGAAATGAAAATAAGGAGGAAGAGCTTTTAATTTTGCTACATTTCTCAAGTTTTTTTTTTTTTTTCTACTTTGCCTCTCCGGAACTCCTAGCATGGCTGATGATGACTTGGATGGTCTTTATTTGGGGTGGAATCAGAGTAAATGCTGGGTGTAGGGGTGAAATAAAAGATTGTACATGCAACAGACATGAGCCACTATACTGATTAATCCTTCATCCAGCACAATCAGGTTACTTTTATACAACATGCCAAATAGTATCAGGTTAGGGACCACATCTGCCCTGGGACATCCAGAACTATGTCTCTATGGAGCCATTCAAGACTCTGTGGAAATGGTCATCATGCTGGTATGCCTGCTTGAAGAAAATTTTTTGTAGCTCTTGGCCTTTTATCAGTATTGTTCAATTAGAAAAGAGCCTCTTAGGAGATCATTAATCATCTGAAATATCAAATACTGCTAACAAGCAATGCAGCAAAAAGACACCCAAACCAGTAACCTGCAATGAATCAGCCATTAAACAGACATTTCCTGAATTGCTTACTATGGCCTTAGCACAGGATTAGGTTTTGCAGAAAATACCCAAGAATCTAAGTAAAGCTTTGTTGAACACACACACACACACACACACACACACACACAGACTCCAACAGGTTACAGGGAGAAGGAAGATGTATACTAGTTACAAGAAAGGTGACTTCCCGAATCAGGTACTAATGAACAATTCTGACCATCCCTTCCCCAATGTAAAGCATTATGTTCAATGCCATCTGAAGAGAGACCAGAACAAACACCTTTTACTGTGGCAGAAGGCTATAAGGCAGCTTGTGATGTGCTGAGGAGTAATATTTTGAAACCCTCAAATCTAACCGTATCATAATTCAGGCAATGTATTGTCAGTAACCCACCCTAGAGGAGCAAAAGCCACATGCAAACAATCTCAACTGACCTTGTGCTGATATTTTACATCATAATGTTGGACTCATTGTGATTGAGCATAGAATTATAGACAGGAGTTTCCACGAACGTACATAAGGCAATAGCTCCAAGTTGTCCCCTGGTTGTGTCCTGCTTGACAACAGACATACTGTCTATGTCAAGCCCCACCTCATTGCTCTCTAACCTAAGAGGCCATCTTACTCTGTGGCTGTTCAGCCTTCAGTCCTTCTAACTACATGGCAGGGTTTCATGAAAAGCAATATTTAAATGTAGGATATTGGTTCCTTCTAAGGACAGGGATTTCACCAAGGTGTGATAGCCCGAGAAATGAGCTCCAAGCCTGGGCTTACAAGCTGATCAGATCTGGCACCTGTAGGTTTCAGATCTGAACTCTTAGGGTTAAAGGCACCTTGGTTGTTTGAATGTGGGGGAGGAGAGAGGAGAAAAAGCCCAAGGAAGGTGAAGATGGTGGACACAAGGGTGAATTTACTGAGAGGCCTGCCACCTGAGAGACTCTAGGGTTCACCTCCCCTGGGCTTCTCCATCCCCAAGGGTTAGAGATTGTCCCTGCACTAGGCTTAGTAGCTGCCAAGCAGTGAAACACATCTCCGGAAGGGTGGGCTTAGGTTGCCATGCTGCAGCAAGGATCCGGGAAATGCAGATTTCATCAGAGATTCTGGTCTTTGGAGGGGGTTAGGTGAGACTGTGTTCTGTGGCATTATTTCCTGCTGGGACGTGGTGTAGGGAAGAGAAAAATGCTGCAGGTTCTAGATAATTCTGGGCGGGTCAGTGTAGGTTGGCAAAAGAAGAGGGAACTAGTGAGGGATATGGTCTGGGAGAAGATAGCGAGAGAGGAGGGACTGCAGATGGAGGGCTGCCATCCACAACTGCAGCATTATGTGTGTGGGAAATAAATTCACTTGTCATATTTCAAATTAGGTTTATAGGTATTCCTCCCCCACCCCACCCCCACCCAACAGTAGCTTGATGGGAAGTCTTCTCAAATTTTAATTGCAATTGGCAGTATATTGGCGTCTAAAGTCTAGGTAGGTCTGACTAAGATGATGGTTTGTATGTATGCGTACGTGACTAACCAAGAGAGCTTCTCAAGTCTCCTGATGTGGTGGGAAGGGTGCTGCGGCAGCGACCCGTCGTTCTAGTAGCAATAAAATTTCCCATTCCTAATGCCAGAGTGCTTCAGGAGGTGAAAAAGGTGTGGGTGTTGCAGTGAATTTTTCCCAGCTCAAGACACACACGCACAAACATTAACAAGTTCGGTAAAAAGTCCTGCCGATGCTTGGAAAGTCCAGCTAAAAGCAAAAGGCAGTCTCCTACGGCAAAGCCCAGCCAGACTTGCCCTGCTAGCTGCGGAGATCAGGGTACCCTCAGCTCCCAAGCGCGCAGCCCAGCTGCCGCTGCCGGGGCACTCTCGCCTTGCTCTCAGGGCTGCAGGCTGCGGAAACCCAGGGCTCCAATTCTCCCTCATCACACTCCTTTCCCTAAGCAGCCCAAACCCTGTACCCAACGACAAACCGCTGGGATCTGGCAAAGCACAGAAATGCAAAACCTGAGGCAGGGTTGGGGGTGTGTGTGTGTGACAAATTTTACTTCAATTCAAAGGAGGTGGAATCCCGTTCCCCTGACCCCGTGCACCCACACACCAACCCCAACCCCTTGCAGGTTAATTTCTTTTCCCGGGTTAGATAAAAAGGATTACTTGCCCACCGAGGCTTGAAGATGGGGGCAAGAGGTTGGTCCCAGACTAGGCTCACCTGCTGCTGAGGTGAGAGAGCAGCCACAGGATGGAAGCTGCTATGAGCAGCAGCTCACGACTGAGTGGTTAGGGGGATTACAAAGACCCTCAACTTCGCCTGTTTCCCCCCCCCCCCCCTTCATTTGTGTCACTAAAGAGTTAAACGCGGCCGGGCTCCAAATCCTCCCCTCGAAGCCCGCTCCACTCCCCCTCCCCTTTATGCCTCCCCCCTCCTCTCTGTGCGCGTCGCTAGGAGGTCATCAAGCGCTCTGCCCAGTCCGCGTTCGCAAGCCCCTCTGTTTCCCGCCCATCTGGCCCGTGGCTGCTTACGAAGAGGTGTGCGCACACCGAGGGGCGTGTTCCAGTACAAGGAGACGCTGAGCGCCCCTGGGTTAGACCTCAGAGCGGAGCCGGCCATGGAGCACGGCAGGGGAAAGTTTGGCACCCCGCAAGGGGATGTCGGACAGGAGTGGGCGGGGCGCCCGAGAGCTCGTTAGCCCTCTAAGCTCAAGGGCTCCGACTGCCTGGACCTGAAGCGGTGTGCAGCCATGGACCGCGAAGCTGCTGCGGCCCAGGGCACTGCCCCGCCTCAGGATGGAGATCAGCTCTTGGAGTCTCCAGAGCCTCCGCCGCCTTGGCCGCCGCCACCACCCGCTCCGCCGCCGCCGGCTCCACCGCCGCCGGCTCCACCGCCTCCGGCTCCTCCACCACTTCCCGACCCCTCACAGGAACCGGCACCAGAGTCCTGTCCAGAGCCTGCTCCAGGTCCCTGTCCGGAGGCGACCCCAGAACCAGCTACAGAACTAGACACTGAACCGACCCTAGAACCAGCCCCAGAGCCGGCCCCAGAGCCAGTCCCAGAACTGGCCACTGAGCTGACCCCAGAACCTGTCCCAGAGCCGGCCCCAGAGCCTGCCCCAAAGTCGTCCCCAGAGCCAACTCCAGAACCAGTCACAGAGCCGACCCTAGAGCTGGCCCCAGAACCTGCCCCAGAGTTCTGCCCTGAGCCGGCTCCAGAGTCCGGTCCGAAACCGAGTCCAGCACCATGTCTACTGCAGTGTCCAGTGGTCCCTCGAGAGAGGGATCTAAAGACTTCACCATTGCCGTCACCCCGAACACCAGTGACGTGGTCCAGAATAAAGGTAAGAAAAAGACCCCCGAGGTGGAGGAAAGAAGCAAGGCGAAGTCAGGTGGTTATTGAGCTTAGGGGACTCCTGGTATCCCTTGCATCCCATTTGACTGCCATCCACTGACCAAGATGTTCAGAAAGATGCAGGAATAGGGGAGCCAGGAGGAGTGGGAAGCGATTAGGAGGCGGGAAGCAACATGTGGGAAGCAAGAGTGGGCTTTGGGGGGCTAGGAATGGAGGTGACAGAAGGGGTGGGAGTCGGAGCAGTTTTCCCCATGTGGAGAAGAGACAGTGCGATGAGCGCCTGTCTGGGAAAAGAGGGGGAAGATGCCTTCAGGAAGCGCAAGGGACCTGTTTGGGGCTGGTCCCGGGTACACAGAGGATGGGATTGAATGGGGACGGTGGGACACACTTCTTAGTCGTGGTCACTGCCGCAGAGGCCCAGGCTGCGGAGCTGCCGCCTACTTGGCCCCCTCCCTGCCATGAGGAGGGGGCGCCCAGGCTGGGTCGCAACTGGCGACGGTCCAGGGAGGGGCTTGGCGCCTCTGCGGGCTGCCGGGTACTGGTACTCTTGGTGGGGGATGAGGGGATGGGCGGCGCCCACGCCCACGCGCACTGCAGGGGAAGGGCAGGGTTCGCTAGGAGGAAGGGGAGAGCATGCGTGTGTCGAAGCCACCATTCCATCTGTCTGCAGGATTTCCCAGCAGGTAGTCGCAAACAGTGATACAGTGATGTGCCGCGTCACAAGCCCGCAACTGGCATCCCACACCAGGGCCAGTTGGAATGGTACACGAGTCCTGGTTTAGACACAAGAAAATAAGAGTTGGGATTTGAGAGTGTATGAATGGGAACCCTCATCTCTACCAGTCTACAGAGATACCTTCTAAACCATTGCACTTAGCCAGTGAAAAATGCGTCGAGGGTCCTCGGGCACCAACCCAAACGGGAGGAGGGAGGGAGGTTTTTGGTATTTATCCTGGATCTCTGAAACCTCATCAGCCTGCTTTTCAGTGAGAGTCTTTTTTGCTTTCGCTGTGCTCCCCCTACTCTTTCTTTCCTCCAAACTTCGTTCCACAAACAGTGAAAATCACGATAATGCTTACGTACACTTCAATATAGCTTACCCTGGGAAAACACAGAGAAACGAGCAAATGAACAACACACCAACAATGCCAGTCCATCCTGCTGTTTGGCAGGGCAAAGGGACAAGGCTCCAGAACCCTTCCGCTGAGGACCACACACTTGTAGAATGTAGAATGCGGGGGTGGAGGCGGGAACAGAGATTGGCACCACGAAATGGAAGCGCTGGTTGCTTCCTGAGTTATTAGTAGGAAAGCTTGAGTTTGCAAAATATCTGCAGTGATAAACGACTGAAAAATAGGAAGTCTAAAGGGAAAAGTTTCACTGAAGACAAAAAGTGCAGAGGTTTAAAAAATAAATGAATAAAATAGGCTGGTAGGGGACTCAGACTTTTTTTTTCTTTAATTCAATACTCCCACTCTCACAAGGGGGTGGATCCTTCCCCTTCCTGCAGATACCTTCCCTTTCCCTGCTGAGATCTCAATAAAGGGAAGGGTGGGGCAGCTCCACATGGTGGGTCACACTAACCCTGAGGCTTGCTCTGGTCTTTTTGGAAGATTTTACATTTAGCTGGTGGGAGGGAGACCAGCAGGAATCACCTGATCAGTGGCCATCTTAAGTCAAGTTTGGGGAACCTGGCTGGGAAACTGACACCTAGTGACTTAATTACCAAGATGGCCAGCTAATACTCTTTGGCCTCTGGAAGGCTGATTAGAGGCCCAGAGTCTCCCCATCCTCCAATTCCCCCCACCCTCAATCCTGAATAAAAATCTTCCTGTCAAGCTGGTAGGAGATGTTCTGAAAACTCCTGTTGCCAGACTGACTTGGAGGATCAAGGCAAGGGTTATCAGGTTAGCTTTCTGTATATAATGTCCATTCAGACATGCTGGACTGCTGTCCCACAGACACTTGACAGCACTGCAAGGAGTCCAGGGTCCCAGGGTTTTGATTTTGCCTGACCATCCATCAAGAAAGCCATGAAGATTAACTAATCAATGGCTCTGGAGGATTTTGAAGGATGCAAAAGATCTAGTTAAATATGCTCAGATTGCTAGGAGCAGAACCCTTTCCCAATACCCTCCATGTTGCTCTGTAATTGCTCTCTGAGCAGTTGAGAATATCTGATCTTCAGTGATAGGACCATTCTCTGCGGCATCCTCTTCAATCAAGTAGCAACTGCAACCAGCTGACTTGAATCTTAACATTCAAGGTAAACAGGTTGCCATCTTAGTTGGAGTGGCATTGTTCTCAAACACTGCCTCCTTGAGGAAAATATGGGGGAAAACAACCACACACACACACACAATATCAAGGAACAAAACAAAATTCCATACAATAAAATCCACTTAATTATCATGAAACTAGTATAATAATTCAAAGGATGAAATTAACAAAGCCAAGTGCTTGAATACAAATGCAAACTTCTTCCAGTTAATTTCATCGACTGGTACTGCAGTAAAAATACAACATCTTCCAGCCTGTCGTCTGTTTTCTTTGGGGATTTTGGGACTTGCTGTTTGGAATTCTGTACCAAGAGTATGGGTAGTGACTAAGAAAGGGGGGCTCATGTTTTCTTTCCAAATAGCTATCAAGGTTATGCAGTCTGTGAACCAAACCTGCCTATTCCTTCCTTTCTAAAATGTTTTGATTCCCAGGAAATGAGCCATGGTCTCCCTCCTGTTGGCTGCAACTGTAAGTAAGGATGTGTGAATTGGTTCTTTAACAATGCTATACTCTCTTGGGGGCTTGGGGGGCTTATATGAAGTGGATCACATTTTTCTCCCCTCAGCTGTGCTTGAGGAAAGACAGTTTATATTTTTATTCACTGGATTTTGACCAGCTATGAAATTATAATCATACTATACCAGCAATCATACTATACCAGCAATCAATGAAAATCTTTTATTTGAATAGGGAGGGGTCTGTATATCCCTTCTAATGACTACAAAGTACTACTCCAAAATCAGAACAGAACATTTTTTTGCCCACAAAACTGGTGTTTTGGACACATGTTTTCTTGTAAAACAGCAAGCATTTATTTATATCATGTCTGGCAATTCCTACCCAAATATTTTATTATCTTACCTATTTGTGAGCTTTCCAGAAGTAAGTACTGTCTTTCTCAGACCTGGTACATGCAGCCTACCAGGTTTTTGCTCAATAATTAGTTGCTGAAACTTGAAACCTATTAATTCCATTTCCAGCGACGTAGATGCTGCTGCTGTGAATGAATAAAAATTCATTCTCATTGGATTCAGAGTGAGAAGTAAATGCTTATTTAAATAGCCTGGAATATATAGCTCTTAAGGAAATACAGTCAATCTTTCCATTTTCATAATGGATATTGGAACCATAATTAAGAATAAAATTATTATAACACCTTTTTAAAAATGGCTTGTAAAGTGTCCTTATCCCATGCAGTCCCAGCAGTAGCAGACTAATGGTGATGTTGTTGGTTTCAGGAGTAATAAATTTTTTCCTAAGTGCACAGAATATCTGCAGTGACTGTGAACAGTTTTTGGAATACACATTTTGATGTTTAACCTGTTGAAGTTCAGGACAAAATTATTTTCTTTTTTTCTTAGGTTCATTCCCCCTTCTTTGCCAGCCTTTGATGAAACCATCTGACTTATTTAGTATATTCTGAGAGCTCCTGAGCATTTGCTGCAGGATGTTTGAGAAAAGATAATGAGGCATTTGGTCAGTGGTCTTTCCTTTCCAAGAGCACTCTTCTTAAGTGTTTATAAAAATCTATGATTTGGATTTCTGCAGATGGGTAGCCCAAAAGGAAAGGTTGAGCCTTTATCCAAAGTGCTTCCCAGGAAAGGGTAAAAATCCATAGAAGTCAGGAAACCATTCAGAGACATTGTAATAAGGATTATTTAATCTATTCTGCTAGTATGGCACTTTACAGTTTACAGAATGATTTCATCTGCATTATTAACCCTTTTATTCCCCTGAGGAAGGCAGCACGATAGCATAGGGCAAAGAAAACAGTTGACAGAAAATACTGTACAATGGTTAATTTATGTATTGTGGATATTTCTGGAATATTCAATACAAGGCTTTCTGTGACACATAAGATCCTCATTTGTCTAAGGAAAGTCTTTTTAGCTGACATTTCATTAGCTCTGATTTTTTTCCCAAAGCAGTGATTGCTGCTCCACTTCCCAGGCTCCCAGAGGGGGCCAGCATAGAACAGGAGCCTCACAAGGAAAGAGAAGAAGCACAAGCCCTTGAACCTATTACCCACAAAAAAAAGACCTTTTTTTGGAAAATGAAATAAATAGAAATCCTCCTGAATGATAGGATATTCAGCCTTTCCAATGCCTGCTGACTGTAATTCCCTCCGTGGAAAAAAAAAATTAAGTATTTAAAAAAGAAAGAATGCAGTCATTCTTAGACGGAGATGCTACACCCTCATCAAAGCAAATAAACCTTATTCTCAAAATAGAAAAAAAAAATTATGAATTTTTTATAAGGAAAAGAAAGGGACAGTCACTGCAGATAATAAAAGTTATCTCTCCTCCAAAAATTTTTAAAAGAAAGGTAAGAAAGGAAGGAAAGAATTCTAAAGGAACATCTTCCCCTCACCCCCTCCAAAGCTCATGAAGTTTCTATTCCCCTAAATAAAAATTATGAAAAGAGAAATAAACATCTTAAATTAAACAGCATTTCTAATTTTCAAAAAATTCATGAAATTTTCAACTTTATTTGCACTACATGTCCCATGCCTAATCCCTGGTGAAAATTATAGGGACAAAAATAATTCTTCTAACAGGGAGGCCCACAACCTCATCAAAGTTCCCTAATATTATTTCTTTCAATTCAATGAGATGTCAAAAATAAGCAAATCCTGGGTCAGGGATATAGCTCAGTTGGTAGAGTGCTTGCCTCACATGCACAAGGCCCCGGGTTCAATCTCCATCACCA